AACCAGAAGGTCCTGGGTTCGAACCTCAATGGGTGCGTACTGCTGTAGAGTCCGAAACTAGGATGAAACAACTGTCCAGTACTCCCAGGTTTTCCAATGGTTCTCTAGCCAGTATCAGCTCATGATGAAATCCTGTAACAAATCATATCTTTATGATTTTCCCTCTGAAAAATATAAATATATTCGTGAAGGCTTCAAGAACAGTGTTCACTTGTTTCTTATCAAAGCGTAAAGGGCAAACACCAGCCCGAAAATCAATCGTTTAGTGAGTTGTAATCAGAGAAGTATCGACTGACATTATCAAAACATAAAATAATGTGTTTGGCTCAGTTATGTAAGAAAAAAATCAGTTAAACCCTACAAGTGTGCATGTATGTGCATATTACTTTTGTTTCGAGAAAATGAAACTAACTGAAATCTTTCAGGAAATTACGTAACAGTGTAACAACAGACGGCAAGATATCGAAGCCAAAGTATATTTTTCATCAATCAAACCGCTCTTTATATATCTATAGTTTATATTCGTTAACCAATCACTGAGCGTGTTATTTTGGTTTACATCAAACGACAAAAAATAGAATGTTCAAATATACATAGTATTCTGTTACCAATGCAGTTTTGAATTGTGGGGAATAACATTCAGACTTTAACATCAAATAGAATGTTCCGATTGATATATCATATTCTGTTGTTAATGCTGAACTGAACGGTGGGAACATATGAATGTGAATAAAACTCCGTTGGCACACATTATCTGTATCACACCACCACAACAGGAGACTACTGTTTTCCAGTTGTAAGTTCACTATCCATGAGCATCTTATGTAAAATTAAAGGATATTGACTAAACTGAAAGCGATCACCGATAGCCTGAAGTGTTCTGTCAGAATTTGCGTGAGTAATAATTAAGTTCTAATGGAATAAATCGAGTTGATTAATACTTCCCAATTTCCAAAAGTTGATAATCACGAATGCTGTCTAAAACTTTATACTAGAGATTGATTGAGATGAGGAGCTGCATACCAGTCATATCAACCGGCAGTACTTGCAAGCCACGTTGAGGTGATCTAAACATCATACGGGCGTTTTGTTGGTCTGGAGCCTAACTGATTAGTGGTGTACACCTTTTTAACTCCTCTGAATGAGCCGAATTAGTTCAAACCACCCGACTTCTGGCTAGCTAATTGGTTTCCAAAGGTGAAATTTCACCAGTGGAGCTGGGTACCTTGCAAATTGCCAACCATTTCGCAAATTTTGAACATAGCCGCCGTGGTCGAACACACCAACTTTGAGGTTAGACACTCACACATACCATACGTTAGAAGCTCTATTTGTTGCAAAGCAACAAACATTAAATATCAAGAGCGACTGGATTTAAACTTACCGGTTGAATGGTAATATGCTCAGTGTCAAACCTGGAGGACTTAATTCTTATCCTCCTTGGAGTAGTGGCTGCATAGTACTTAAGATTCATGAAAGGAAGCACAACGATTATATAATACCCCTAGATTTTCAACTGTCCTATATTTGATGTCTTCGTTTATTTTGAAATCTGCATTGAAATCAGTGAAACCTCTCCAAGGTTGTTTCAGGATTCTAACTAGTGGTCCACTGTTTTTGCCAACAAGTAAATACTATGTTTTGCATCTATATTAGTCTTTCAACCGGATGCCATCTCACAGAATCTCATCATCAATCTTCTATTTTGCATCTAATTCTACAGGAATAGTATTAACAACACAAGACGTGTCTGGATATTTATTGTAATAACACAATAAAGGGACACTTCTGCATCACTCATTCACACGACAATTAGACTTTACGTCTTATGACATAAGTGAAATAACGACTTTGTAAACAATTGGATTTGACAGCCCAGTTTCTTGATCACCATACTAGTATTTCAGAGCCCTCGGTTTAAAATAAGCCACGTGTTGTAATCACTATTAACACTGGATTCCAAGTGAGACACAAAAACTTCAGAAGCATGACTCCATGTCACCTGGTTCTCTGTGGCCTATTTAAGCTAGCTCCACGATTGCCCTTAAGCTTTTCCTTCTCACATGTTCTCTATTTTACAGTCTGAAGCCCAACTCATCGTTTTCCACTTGGATTTCACTCAAGGACCTGGCTTGTTATTTCATTCAACGATCCCCTTTGTGTGTGTCCAACGCATCCTCATTTTTTCTCACATATCTGTTGAACAATAGCTTTTTTGACTGAACCGTTGCCAGAGTTTCTTGCTTCTCATCCTTTCCGACTGACCACCTATTCTTCAGTATGGAGCCAGAAAGGGCAGCTCACTTTTTTATTAAAATTTATACTACTTACTATTAGTAAGTAGCATGAATATTTTGTTGTTTCTCAGGCGCGGCATTGTCATTAGAGTTTGTCTCATTTGATTTACTAATGTTCAATTTGACAAAAAGGAATTATAAGTAAAAACACAGTTTTCTGTTCAACCGAGAAATTTCTTTTCAACGACTTCATTTTCAAGCCGTACTGTCGTATTTATATTACAGAAAAAGCTATTAAGTGGCAGTGAATAATTGCTTAGTCAATATACATATATAAGTGATAAGAATAACGATAATTAAAATGTTCACAAATATACCACTAGTAGACACTATCTGCTATCTATGCGAATATATTGATTTAAATAGCATGAACATTGCCTTACCAACTGAATATCTGAAACAACTATTATTGAGATGCACACTGAATGTGCAATTTAGATTTAATGAAGTCATCTACAATCAAATAGATGGAGTCGTCATAGGGTCTCCTTTAGGACCGCGCTTAGCGGATGTCTTCATGGCAAGCTTAGAGAACGGCCCACTAAGGGAAACCATCAAGAGTCTGTCTATGCACAAAAGATATATAGATGATACCTTCATTTTCTGTGAGGAAAACTCTTCAACTGCTGAACTGCTTGGAATATTTAATGGCTCTCACCCATCTTTGCATTTCACGATAGAAGAAGAGTCGAATTCCTCGTTCCACTTCCTTGACGTTAAGCTACATAGAAGAGAGAATGGCGCGTTGTTAAGGCTGATTTACTGAAAGCCAACATTCACAGGGCAGTACATTAACTTCAACAGTTGGGTACCTTTAGGGAGAAAGAGAAATCTTATTCATTCCTTATGCTTCAGAATTAGTAAAATCTGCTCTACAGAGACAATCGGTAGTGAACTAGATAACCTTCGATCAAATCTCCTTAACAATGGATATCCTACAAGGTTTATTGAACATAACGTCAAGAAAGAATCCGCCCCTAAAAAATTACAGTGCCAAAGAAAAAACTACTTATGAGTCTTGCATTCAAAGGTGACACTATTTCTGTATTGATTAAAAATCGTTTATCTAAATGTATTAAACGCACCTTTCCTGCAGCTAATTTGCGACTAGATTTCACCAGCCAAAATATGATTAGACAATGCGTCAAAGAATGATTACCCCTTATGTCCATATGTATGTTCATTTACTCTTTTACTTGCTCTTGCGGAGCTGATTATATTGGACGTTGTAAGCATACTTTCCGAGAACGTGTAGCTGAACACTATCCGGTTTGGTTAATGAAAGGCGAACGTAGAACTGCAAAGTCGTCTATTTGCGATCACCTGTTAGAGTCTGGTCATTTAGCCCCACATGATTCATCCTTCAAGGTTATCTACATGGCAAAATCGAATCGATCCAAAAGTTTACGTTCTCTTCACTTATGTATAGCCGAAGCTTTAGCTATACATGAACAGAAACCTAAATTATGTGTTCAAAAACGTTTTGTAAAAACCCATTTCTTTACTTTGGTTATAGTAATGGTCTTTCTAGTTTTTATTTTATTTTACTACTTGAATTCATTCCACTTCACTTCACATCTTTATTCTTATCGTAATCGTACTCCTAATTATTTAAATTTTTAGACAACACTTGACATTTTCCTTTAAAAATATTTTTCGAATCACTTCACTAATTAAACAATCTTTAATAATTTTGTAATCCATCCACTTCAGCTCTACCTTATAACATTTTAATTATCGTTATTCTTATCACTTATGTAAGTATGTTGTATGAGCAATTATTTATTGCCACTTAATAACCTTTTTCTGTAATATAAATACGACAGTACGGCTTGAAAATGAAGTCGTTGAAAAGAAATTTCTTGGTTGAACAGAAAACTGTGTTTTTACTGATAAATAAATGAGTATTTTTCGTCATATAGTAATTACCCTACTTGGCGCGTCACGAATGCCGCTTCAAACGAACTACAGACTTCCATCAACAGCTTTTTTCGCTCAACATTACACATGATAAGATGGTCAGCCAGAAATGATAAGTAACAGGGATCTCCAGGAGCGAAACAACCCAGCAGGCACCAATTGTGGATTTAACTTTTGGGAAGAAATGGACTTGGATTGGCCATACTCTGAGTAGACCATCAATTGACATCCCATGACAGGCTCCCGAGTGGAACCCGAACAGGAAGTGGCGAGTTGGTCGTCAGTGCTAGGGTGACATGGAGGACATGTGATGAGATGAGGGTATGTAGGAAGACGTGGGTCCAGGTGTAAACGTTAGCAGAGGACCGAACACAATGAAAACGTGTGGCTGAAGCTCTATGTTCCTCTAGTTCCTAAAGGAAACAATAATGATAATTACCTTCCCATAGTTAAACGGTACGATAGAGGATAGCGGCACAAATGGCTTATGGAGAGGGTGAGCATTTGAAGGTCACATATAAGCGTTGTGATTGGATAATTCAAGCGTGCGTTAACGCAGTGGCAATACGCAATAGGCGTGAAAGTGCTTATTTAGTGATATTTTAGTGATGTGTGATGATTTACTCAGATTATTCGACGATATTTTGAAGAGCAAAAGATTTAACTCCTGGGACGTATTCGAGGAGGCCTTCAAACAGTTTAACAAAGTCGCGCAAACACATTATGTTGTCAGAAGTAGTCGTATTGACAGGAATAATCCGATTTTGAAATACGAACGGGTGGATTATGTGTGTACATTTGGTCAGAAAAGAAGAAACCGATCAGATGGAGTCAGACCTGGAACACCGTAAGTGTATAATTTTGTTTAATCCAGTTTTTATCAGTTATAAGTGCATGGGTTGTATGTCAAGTTTCAGTGTGAACACTGTCAACGGAAGTCTGGTTGTTGGTGATATGAGGGGTGAACATAATCATCCGTGTACACAAGAGTATATGATGGTTGACCATAGCAGACGTAATCTCTCCGGAATGCAGAGAGTCATAGTTGATATAGTGGAATGTATGATTTCAACTTTTGAATTGAGAAATACAGTATTAATTGAATTCGGGAAATATGTTAGCCGACAAGATGTCGTTAAATTGAAACAGAAGATGACCGCAAGTACACATATATGTAACACAATTGCTTTATCTTCCTGAAGGTATGAACAGTATGCATTCGGTTCTGCAATTATTACGGTCGACAGGAGAGGTTAGAACGAAGAGTTCCAATGGTCAGCTTGATGTTATATGTTTCAGTCTGCACGAGCAAATAAAGTTTTATGAGTCTTTTCCGGAGGTAATATGCATTGATTCAACGTATAAAACGAATAATTTGGGGTAATTAATTAATAATAGTGTAATGTTTGCAGATTCAGTCTATTTCAATTAGTTGTAACTGACGGATGTGGAAAGGGTGCAACTGTAATGTTTGCTTTTTGTCGGAGGGAAACTGTTTCAGATATTACACACGTTCTCAGGATGTTTCAGTCCATTATGGGATATACGGATGGCACTAAAACATTTGTTATGGATAACTGTCAAGCAGAAATTTCTCCGGTGAAGGAGGTATTCCCTCACTGCCGAATAATTCTTTGTTCATTTCAGGTGCTTCGAGCCTTCGGTCACAAGGTATATGCGTATTAATAATTTCTACTGTGTTTATTCAGTTTCGTAATCCTGAACTACGTTATGCACTTGAAAAACTGGTTTCCACTCGGATTAGACCAAAGTAAGTTATGCATGAAGCATAAAAATGGTAAATACGTAGGTTCTCATATTTCTATTGTTACATCCGTAATTCGTTCCCCCAAGCATACAACTTTTTAACTGGGTATTGGATTAACACGAGGCACACGTGGGCTCGGTGGTTTTTCAGAAAAGCGCTCACTTTAGGCAATCACACTAACAACATAGTTGAAATTGCTCACAAGTACTTGAAGCTGCATCTTCGACAAAATGATCCCTTATTGTTGACCTTATGGAAAGTTCATAATGCGTCCATAAAAAATTGGAGACTTTGGTCGTACGATACTCTATTTACATTACAGAAATTTTGTCAGTTCAACGTTAGTGTAAATTTTCTCTTATACTATTATATAGGTTCCTGAGCCAATTCAAAGGCAACTGGACAAATTAACACCGTATGCTGCTAGGATTGTCTACCAGAGTTATGGACATATTCACAAACTCAATCATGAATTCATAAGCAGCAACATTATTGATTGTTTCGATGGAATGCAGGACCACATGGTTGATACTTCCACTGGAGTGTGCACCTGTCACCACTTCCATGATTTCCGTCTCCCTTGTTCACATGTCCTGTACTCCTACTATAAAGGATTGTTCACTGGAGGTAAGATGAATTTGTGTAATACTTACGTACTCAATTTTAGATCTATTGTAATACAGCCGTAGGTGGTGTATAGAATACAACCTTAATGTTACCATGAGGACAATACAGCGAATTAATATTACGAAATGTGATGTAGACGAATATGCTCAACGAGTGTGGCAGTGTCTTCAACGCCTAAAGAAAATCAATGCAGATATTGCGCTCGACGTCGTAACTAGACATTACAATGAATGTGAAAGCATTCTCAATGACCTGCTTCCGTCAGTTCAATCGATGGATTGTGAATAGTCATTTCCATGTTAACATAGACGTTAACGTTTTGTGCAATATGAAATTGAAACAGTACTTCTCTGATGAATTCATTTTCAATCATGTGCAATTCAAAAGGGTACAGTTAGGAAAAATTAACATTAAGAACTTTTAAAGGTGGGTAACACATCCATACACCTGTCGACATTTTTCGTTTATCTATGTTTCTTTATAAGCGTATACATGTACTTCAGAGTAACAAATGTTTTCAACTTAGTCATAAATCCGTTGGTTGCATTATACTTGCAGTATACGTCTCAATGGAAGTGACATTCTTAGGTACTTGATTTATTATTGTTACATTGCATAACATTCATTATTATGTTTACGTTTACTTTATTACAACTTGTAGTTCATCATGCGCAACAGAATTCCTTACAATGTAAACGGAGGGCTATGCCAGCCTATATAACCGAACTTTGGAAATTTGGAGACATGGTGCCATCAAATTACCCACTAGAAGTTGACTTATCAGTGTTACCTTTTCTTATTATGTACATAATCTAATTGTGCATTGCAATAAAAATAAACCTTGCCTATACGCAATCTTGTCTTTTATTTCACATACTCGCTTGGGAAGTACGGTATGCTAGACCGGTACTTCCTTAGGTAGGAACTTTCAAATATACATAAGCGCAATCCCGTATTACCGGAAATATTTCATGTTAATTCTAGTTACGCATTTGCATTTAAAATCTAATGGATAAAATATATTTTGTGTGCCATAGTACTATAGCGTCAGAAGCTCAGTTTATTCTGCAGTACTTTGTTGCTGTTGGTTCCATTCAAAATCCCTAGAAATATCTAGAGAATTGTAAGTTATACCAACCGAAATAAAGCGCATTATCAGTAGAGAATCTCCATCTGGTTAACATATATCTTTTCATATTCATTACTTTTACATACGTAGATATTTCGTTGTCAGTGTCTACGCTTGTACACACTGAATGAATCTCTTCCTTGGAAATCACTTACACAACATGTGATACTCAAGGAGATACTTAAGTATTCCTTTAGTGAAATGCATTCAAGTATTTCGTAGTCTATTTTTACTAAGTAAATATACCCTATCTATCACAAGTACCCCATTATCTTAAAACAATGTCTAAAGTGAAATCATCAAGCAATAACTACGCCCTTACGCAATCACATAAGCACTTTTACTTATATAACGCTTGTCGTCATCATCCAAATTTAGTGACTGCTTAAGTGTTACTAGGAAATACGACTTATAACGCAGTATGTCACTGTGAAAACTGATATCCTGAATAGAAAATTTTACGCACAGTACGTGTTCACTTTAACATCACTTATCACTGTGACAAACAATAAGTAGAAATAATAAGAGTTCATGAAAATTTTACAAATATTTGTGTTAGTAAATACATGCGTCATATCAAAAATATCTCATCAACCCCACAAACATGTTTTCTGCCTAACATAACTGGAATGTATAAACACATTAAATGATTTTAGGAGTGAGAACAATAATCTGCAAAACAAGAATTACATAACTTCAGTTCAGTAGTCATTGCTTAGCTAAGAATTTTGAAATACTGTACAAAAAGGTGATTACTTTGGCTATGTATTATCACCACTTAATCACATAAATTGACTTTCGAACTAGGAAATCTAAATATTATCATAAAATCAAAACTACACCTTTGTTCAACTCATTTCATCGTCAGTACATGAAATGTGCCCCATTTACACAAATTATGCAGTATTTCCTTTTATTATTCAACTTTTCTATTAAGTATGACATTTACTATGCATCACAGCAGGTGAATTCTACGAAAAGACGGCAGTTTGTAAACACACAGAAAACTACCATTTTTCTTACTTTTTACACGTTTTTTCGTTAAAATACGATTTTTAAAACGCATTTCCGTGGAAAAAACCACTAAAAACAACGTAGAATAGCCCAAATACAACACCACGATAACAACTTAAAAATGCAGAAATCAGCTGATTTGTGCCTCTATCCTCTACCCATTCGTGCGCTGTTTAAGTTCACATGCGAGTCACTTCACACAAATTCTCTGTTTTTCCTGTTGACGCATATTAACTAGGCTTTCAGTGGCATTTAGCCATGGACACCACACAATAAGAGGGTTTTACACCATATTTCAGTATGTTGTATTTAATATAGCACAGTATTCTAGACAAATCCTGTGCTTTTGGAGTTTATGCTCCACTCTAAGTGTGATTTGAACTATCGTTTGGATCGTCGTTCCGGATTTCTTAGAAGAAATTCACAGTTATTTGATTCTATGTTATTTATTTATATAATAATGATAATGTATATTCTCATATAAATATATAAATTTACATGAAAATGCATGCCATTTTTACAGGCGCGATCAAGTATGAAATAATATCAAATTGTAGATTGTCTACAAGTTGATAATGTTTCAACAGTTAAATATTTGATATATATATATATATATACACTCATTGTCTGAACTAGGCTGTATGGTTGTTGAATTGTACAATTGTCCTCCAGGTTGAGCGGGAAAATCGACTTCGTTTCGTTTTCATCCCGTGGCTGTCGGCATACGATAACCAACCAATATTGAGGTAAGTACAACGTTTACAAGGGATTGAAAGCTGTTTTAGAAAAGTAAAAGAGCTAAGGTGAATCAATAAAGTGTAATGAAATGGGTAAGTGCAAGTATCACTAATAAATGCATTAATAAAGGAAACTCCCTAGGCTGACAACGTTCATTTGCAATGTATAATGCTTCCTGTACAGTTTGCACTATCATGATGTCCAATTTCGGTTTTGAAAAATTTTTTCCTTACGTCGGTTTTTTTAATATTTTATGCCTTTTTGTGCATTTGGTGCACAACCTTACCCTACAGAGAATATGAATAGAATAAGTCGAATCAAATTCATAAAAAGCTATAAAATGTTAGGTTTAATTGGATATAATGAGGATCAAGTAAAGACGTTATTAGAAAATAAGTGAGACAAGACACTGAAGTGGTATTTAAAGATCTGACATTGGATAGCAAGTTAATTCATAAGATGCCCCATAAATCTGTGCAGATCCCGCGTGGTCGCATCTCAACAATAGGCTGAGCGAATGGTATATATTTAAAGGTAGAAGTATGATCTGTCAAGGCGTTCATTATTATCTTTTTCAAGATAAAGATCTAAGCTCTCATAAAAATCAGAAATATCTTGAGCCGTCAAATCGCATATTGCTGTTCCTGCAGAATGAGGTGATTCATTTTAGGGACCACCACCATATCTACTGATCAGCTAGCGCCACCTTCCCTCCTTTTTTGATGTTAGGCTCTGAGACTATGATTATTATGGCTACACTAAATATATTGCTTGGTACCAGACATGTTCGTACCTCATATTCCATCTCCCTAGCTTTCGTAATGAGTGCTTCCAATAGGTCTCCGCGTACATCTTTATGAACATTATATATGTATGCATGCGTCCTAATGAACAGATTACTTAACAAGAAGTAAAAACCTTAAAGAATAAAAAGAATAGGTTTTGTGAATAGTGGAGCAAGATTCGGCAGAACAATATAGTTAGGGATCAATGTAGGTAGTACGAACT